TGTGACGTCAAGCGGCTCGCCGGCCGCGGTGGCTTCAATGCGGAGCATGTAAATATGCAACCTCAGTCTTGATATTGTTGTTTAAACGTTTATATAGTATATTAGGAGAAAAAGAAATTTTTTCAAAATGACTGACACAGATTTTGCAAAGGACAATCTGACATTTTACCACTCGTGGATATGTTTATGGTGGCAACTTACATTAAAAACACCGAAAGTTTTACTTTTGTTGAAGTTCGCGGTGTTAAAGCTAACAGGTAGATTTATAGGCAAAATAGTCAATAGTTTTACTTATATAAATCGATAAAATGTTAGATTGGGGTTTTACTGGCTCTAATTTTCAAAATTCAAATAGAACCTATTGATCAAAATGTAAGTGATTCAAAAAAAAATAGGAAAGTATTGTTTTCATGCTAGTAAAAACTGAATACATCATTAAAAGTGATTTGGCATTGATGCAAAATAGAGGGTTAATTAATAAATATCCTTAGTTACTCAGAATAACAATGTTAAATACAAAAATATGTAATAAGTAAAAAAAAACGTTATTTACAGATCGCGAAGGTATTCTTATGGGTTGAGTTTTTGCAGTAGGATGACCTCCCATTAACTTGAATTTAACATTAACAATAGTTATCCATATCTTCTCCCAGCCAGAATAAATAAATAATATTAAAGTTACATAAAAATATGTGTTAATATTCAAATTGTATTACAAAAATAGTAGGTATTTAACGTAAATGCACGACGATAAAACGAGGTTTTTCCTTCGCTGATACTTATTGTTTCTTTTTATCTTCTAGTATAGCAATTAACTATTTTTAAGGGGATTATTTACTACTATGATGCAGCCGAGAAGCAAACAAAATACAAATTCAAATTATTTATCTGTTACACAATAGACTAAATCAAATCTGTTTTTTATACTTACATTAAAATGATCTTAACATACATGGGCAGTACCCTTCTCAGAAATATCCTTGCATACCTTTACCCTTTAACTATTTTAAACGCCGGCTTTTATCTCGTGGTACTCGAATAAATAGCCTTTCTGGCGTTTTAAAGGCTGGACTACTACACTACAATAAAGTTTTTGAAAAACTGTTGGACCTATTTTAAATCGCCTGATTGATTGCGGACGCAAATTCGAATCAAGAATAGATTAAATAGATAAAGGACATAAGGATCATAGGAGACAATTGTTAAACCAGATGTTGAGCGGATATTTTTTAAAGAAGCCAGGGTCAATTTATGAAAAACGCTCAAGAGTAAGTGCAAATGAAGTGACAACTATTATGAATAACTTTTAATGCAACAATATGTTTTATTATTTGTTATTTTACTTTGTAACAACAAATAATCAATATTTAGATATCTATTTTGTAATAACATGAAATAGTAAAAATTATTACTGTTTTGTAATAATATATAATAAAAATGTTTTGAATTTAATTGAAAACATATTTGAGTTTACCTCGGTTATTTCAGAAAACATGGGTTCCGTCTTCTTATTTTCTATCACGCAATGCATTCTTGATTTTAACACGATACGAATCTCTCTTCAGCTTATAGTATTTATTAGAGCTTATTTTCAATGATTAGTTGTGTTTACCACGCATCAACATTTTTTTCCCATCATATACCCTTTGATTCCTTTATGATTAAACCTTCTCAATTAAGTTTAATTTTTTTAGCCTTGGATTAGTTCAGTTAAAAACATTTTTTTTACATATGCGCCTGGCTTACATTATGTATACATATAGTGTGTCAAGTGTATCTTGTCTCTATAGCTCTTCCTCGTTTTACCGTCTATTTTAAACAGATAGAACGTCTTCCAATCACCAAAATTAACTGATTTTTTAGTTCTATTCAGATACAAGTTGAAGCAGCGAAAAGTATTAAATAATGCTGAACGCCTAAAACAATTTCGTGCTAAAAAATGAGCATTTAGTAATAGATCAACTCAAAGTAGCTTTCATCAACTGACGTCAAAGATTATACAAAGCAAATAAGAAATTGCGACTAAAAATACAAAAACTCAAGAAGAAGAAGAGTTTGCACAAACCCAAGAAGATCAATATGTGGAACCTCTTGTGGAAGAATATTAACCAGAGCCTAAATACTGAACGTATAAAACCCGCGTTTGAGCAAGTTTCTATAGGCAACGACCATACCACGTTGAATAATACCGGTTCTCGTCCGATCATTCGACCCTTGGCAGGCAGGTAGAACGGTCGGATCCTGTGAGTCAGCCAAATCTTGTGAAACGCAGAGCGTCATTCATTGTTCCGGGGAGTTTTCGAACTGACGATTTTAGTTTTTCGCCAATTTTCCAGTTCTTTTGGAGCCGATATTTTGATTTTTTTTTTAAATATCTCTGTTGACTGGATCAAACACTTCGCGACAAAGTGCTGTTAAATAACGTGGCGGACATCTCCGCCAATCGTGACTCGCGCGAAGCCCCTGTGGCTACCACGGACAACGAGGACAATGCGTCCGTAGTGTCGATTGCATCGCACAGCTCTAATTCGAGCAGTGTCGCTGAGCTTAACGCGTTTGCAGGTCTTGCAGAGGAGAAATCAGAAAGATTCAGGCAAATCTGCAGCCTCCTCAAAAAGCATCCGAACTGTGCGCGTTGTTCAGTGCTTTCGGCGGAGCTAGGTGCAGCATACACCACCAACAAACCCCTTAGGTGGTCACTGGTGGTAAATCACATGAATAGTGACCATCCCAGCGCAACGCGACGAAGAACCGTGCAAGCGCAAGTCGGTACCGTACCGATTCAAAAGCGCAAATTTGAAGCGGTAAGCATAAAAAAGCCCACAAACCTGAACAAAAAATCCAAGCAGCCAACGGAAACTCAACTGGCTGAAAAAGAGCCAGCCGTGATTGGTTCAACCATAGCCATGGACC